AAATACAGAAAATTATACAGTAAAAGAAAAATACCAGCATCTTTTGTTCTGAACAATCACTATTATATTGTAGCATACTACTTTGTAACATTTTTTGTGTCATATTTTCTTTCTTTCTTTCTTTCTTTTTTTTTTTTTGGTACTGAGAATTAAACTCACAACCTCACATCTGACAGGCAGGCACTGTGCCACTGAGCTATATCCGTGGCCATATGTCATACTTTCTTAACATTATATGAAAATTTTCCAAATGGTAAGACTCAAACTATTACTATATCAAACTAAAAGCAAACCAACATATAGACTTTTATTGTTACATTTTGAATTTCAAACTCAGATTTGAGTAGAGAGAGTAACTCAAGAAACATAATCAAGGGGAAAAAGATACAAATTATAGAAGATCTTTAAAAATAAAGAAGATCTTTAAAAATAAGAACAAAATTTGGCCATGATTATAGTTATATCTGTAAGCATGGCTTTACTTACTTTGTAGTAATTTCCAAACTGATTCTGGACACTGATCAGAAAATACAGTGATATGATCTTTTTTTTAAAAAAAAAAGTACATTAAAATTCATATTTAATTTTTTTAAACAGTATTAGAGATTAAACCAAGGAGCAATGAGCTATATCCTCATCCCTTTTAATTTTGAGGTAGAGTGATAGTAAATTTCCCAGGCTGGCCTTGAACTTGTGATCCTCCTGCATCAGATTCTGGCATAGCTTGGATTATAGGTAAGAGCTACAATGCCTGGCAATATTGAAATGTTTAGGGTACATTTTATAAGAGAACAAATAATGATGAATTGTAAGGACTTTAATATTTGGTGCATGATTTATCAAAAAACTTTGTCATGTCAAAAAAATTAGCTAGTGGGCTGGGGATTTAGCTGTGGCATAAGCGCCTGGCTTGCAAGCAGGCAGTCGTGAGTTTGATCCCTGGTACGAATAAAAAGGAAAAAGACAAAAAAAATTAGCTAGTTAGGTTTTCCTCTAACGACTGTTTAAAGAAAAAGTGAAGATATAGAACAAACGGAAGGTAAAGAGATAATAAAACTTGGGGCTGGGGATTTAGCTCAGCAGCATAAGCGCCTGCCTTGCAAGCAGGCAGTCGTGAGTTCGATCTCTGGTACCCATAAAAACGAAAAAGACAAAAAAAAAAAAAAGAGAGAGAGAGAGAGATAATAGAACCTTTGAGTTTTCCTATTGTTGGGCACAGGTGCTCAACATACTATACCCCGCCCGGAACTAAGAACCACGTCAGCTTCCGCAATGCGCTATGTCCCTCTCCTAACTAGCCTCCCCGTGCACACTCCATGCTCGCCCCGTGCTGATTCTGTGGCGATATGTGATTGGTCACGGCCGAATATATAAGCCAGAGCGCGCGGCAATAAAGCAGCAGTTCCTGTTACCAACAAGAGCGTCCTCGGTCTCATTGGGGGGCTGCGTCGGTCATCCTATAAAATAAATAAAATCTTTAATTTTTAGAGCTTCATGTATAGTACTTTATTTGGGTATTTATTATGTGCCAAGCACTTTCTAAGTGTCCTGTGTGTATGAATTAAGTTAATCCTTATGACAGCCCAGATGAAAGATGATGGAGACTGGTTTCTAAGCTCTGACACCTGAACGCTGTCACCTAATGATCAAATAATTAAAATACACTATCAATGTATGTTTTATAATTTGAACATTTATTTTTAGTAGAGAAAGAAGATACTAATTCTACCAAGGAAAAAGAAAGCACAGGTTAGAAGCAGAAGAAAAAGAGTATTTTAATGCCCATTGTACTGAAAGCTCTTTGAGACATAAGACATATTTCTTTTAAAGTTATTCAGAACATGTAGTTATCTAATACAAAGTATACACTTCAGTTTTGAGAGAAAGCCTTGAAGTATTTGACCTATGCTTATCTAATGAGATTGGTAAAACTATAGCACAAAGTTAAGTGGACAAAGAAAATAAGCACACCATAATAAAAGGAAACATATACCATCTGAAAAACGGTCATGTATCGAACTCTTGAGTGCTGAAGATGCTGTAAAGGGGGGGGGAGGACAAAAATGTGGATTATTGACTAGTAACTTTCTGGATAAGGTATTTCAACATAAAACTCAATTTTGATCCTCATTATTCTACCTCAAACTAACTCAACATTTCCTCTGGGGTTTCTGACAATTTCAAACAGTAGTAGTATTTTTAAAACTTCCCATCATTTCTGTTAACAGACACAACTGTTTTAGGTTTGTGATTAAATAAAAGTTCAAAAATAGTTTTTCACAACTTCACCAGATCTCCACTTCCATCATTACTTTAGAAAATATTTAAAACTATCCCAGCCTTTCCCTTTTCCCCTTCCATCTGTCTTATCAGGGCAGCAGGTTTTGACATCTAAGAGGAAACGCAGGAAAAGGGCCAGGGTTCAGAGGGTAAAAAGGATGAGCAACCTCATTGCTATTATCTGCACCAGGCAGTACTGCCATCTATTGTTTGCCTCAAATTTTATTACTTTTGTATATATAATTGATTTTCCTGGCATGCAGTTACAGTATTCATATGAGAAACACTAGACTAACAGGAGGAATAAAATTAGCATTGCTAAGACACAGAAATAGCCTCATTTTTTATTATATGACAAGGAAACTCAAAACAAAATAACATCAACCTTAAATCTAAGAGGCAAATTTTTTTTTGGTCTTTTTCCTTTTTATCAGTAACGGGGATCGAACTCATGAATACCTGCTTGCAAGGCAGGTGCTTATGCCGCTGAGCTAAATCCCCAGCCCCATATCATTTTTTTTTTGTCTTTTTCTTTTTTCTTTTTATCAGTACTGGGGCTCGAACTCACGACCACACATTTACAAGGCATGGGCTTATGCCACTGAGCTAAATCCCCAGCCCCCCGAGGCAAACTTTTTTAGTTACTACTTTAGCTTAGGAAATTAGCTTAATTAATTCATATATTAGAGGTTTCTAAAGGCATTAAAGTTATAATTGCATTATCAAAGCAAAATATGAACCAAAAAACTCAAACCCATCAGATGTTTATCCTAAATACCTTACTATATGATTTGCAAAGATCAAATGAAATAATACATATGAAAATCCTGTGAAGTATCTGTATTTATGATGAATAACTTATTATATACTATACATTAATAGTTATATAATTCCTGAAACACATACAGCACAGTATATACACACTAATTAAAGTTATTCTTATTAAAATCATTAGAGGCAGTAACAAAAATCCTGAAAGAAATCTTAAAAGATAAAGCTTTTCAAGCAGGCGGCCGTGAGTCCAATCCCCAGTACCTATTTAAAAAAAAAGATAAAGCTTTTCTAGTCTAAAGAATACATCAATAATTACTCTGTAAAAGAGTAGAAAGCTTGATCTTCCAGTTATTGACCTTTACACAATATGTTAAGAACAAATAATCACTTAGTTATATGATATTATATTTAGAATTTAAAAAATTGTTTACACATAGAAGCTCATTATAATAACTCAGTTACAAACACTGGTGTTCCTAAGGTAAGAAAATCAGGGTTCATAAAGTTTAAGTGACTTTACCAAGCTCTTTCAATTAGCAAGTGAAGAGTGTTAAGTCTAGAACCCAGGTGCTGTAACTCCAAAGTCTATCTTCTTTTCTCCACATCATCTTTTATTTTATTTTTTGGTCTTTCTCACTATGCAGTTCAGGCTGGCTTTGAGCTCATTTTGTAGCCCCGTCTGGTCTTGAACTCACAACAATCCTCTTTCCTCAGTCTCCCAAGAGCTGGGATGATAGGCATTTCACACCAACTTTTAAAATAGGTTCCAAAGCATTTATTTAATGATCTTACATCTTTAGAGACACATCCTTTCCTATTCACACTGTTTTACATATGGTAAATGGGAAAAAAGTAAAAACAGTCTGTCACTGCTGAGGAAAAAAAGAATTGTGATCATATTAATATTCATGGAAAAACAAAGCCAAAGAGGTTATCTTGTCCAGTTACAGAGTTAATCATTCCATAAATGAGACACATAATAGAGATTTTTCTATTATTTAATAAAAATAAGGGGACACCTGAGGACCTTGAGACCACTATAGTCAGAGGAGTAAAATAGAGATAAAGAATATTTAGGTTATTAAAGAATATAAAAGAATATAAAGAATATAAAAGAATATTAAAGAATATAAAGGTTATTTAAGGCACACAATGTGTGTGTGGGTGTGTACATGTACAAGTTTAATATAGTCAAGGATTAATTGGACACATTTCTACAGAAATTATGACAGGCAAGGTGTTCAAAGTAAAACTTCATGACATCAGTTTATGAGCATTTCTTAAATTCTATGACACTTAATCCAATCCTAAACTTGAACAAGAAAACAGTTTGTGCATCCCAGCTCTTACTACATAAGAGAATGGGTATGTAAAACTGTTGTGTTACTATAAAGTCTGCTAACTAAAAACCATGATTGTCAAAGTAGTACAATGTCATTCTATATATGCTTGCTGCTATGATTGGACATACTGTCACGCCACATCCATCATCCAGATTTTCTCATGCCACTATCTATGTTGTACACCCAGTCCATCTAATCCCAGTCCAAGCAAATGGAAATTAGTGAACTAATAATTGCAGCTGTTTTTTATTAGTGAGATCATAAACAACCCAAATGCTTGTATGAACAAATGATTATTTTTGTATATAAGATAACCAGGAAAAACACATCAAACAAATTTACTTACTCTGCATCCTAGTCCTCATTCTGACCTGCTGTTCAAACCATTCTTGAGGGTTTTTTTGATATCCTGAGCCTGAAACAAATTCATATATTGAAATACCATTTCACATATTTTGAAAGTCTATATCAGAGCCCAATGTTTCTATGACAAATCTATCAGGAAAAAATAAAGTAGGGAGGAAAAGAATGAAGGTAACAGTTTTTGAAATAAAAGAATTTCAAAGGATCGTATCAGTGAAGATGAACTACTTCCCCCAGCAGAATAGCCAGTGGGGTCGCAGGAGCGTCCCCCACTCACAGCCCGCGAGTGCTCTGTCTGCCTGCCTGCTGCGCGCGCTCCCCGGCCAGCGGCTGCTCCCCTCACCTCCGCAGCCCCCACCTTCGGAGGAGAGAGGGTTCCTAACTTCTACGTAAGTATGGATGGACAAGGGTAAGTCATTTAAAAAGAGCTTCTATAAACTTTAACAGGGTCAGGGATTTAGCTCAGCAGCATAAGTGCCTGCCTAGCAAGCACGAGGTCATGAGTTCAATCCCCAGTTCCAAAAAAGAAAAAAACAAAACAAAACAAAACAAAACAACCAAAAAGATTAACTGGAGTCAATGAAAATGCAGGAATCAGTGAAAAAATGACCTAAAATATCTATTCAGATATTTAATAACAAGAAACTTCCCAAGCATGGAAAAATAATTTCACATTACATAAATGAGGCATATAGAACTCCAACTAGCCATGATCAAAATAAATCTATACCAAAGTATATAATAATCAAAACTCCAGATATTCAGCACAAGAAGAGGGTATTAAAAGCTGTTACAAAGGGCTGGGGGTTTAGCTCAGCGGCATAAGTGCCTGCCTTGAAAGCAAGCAGTCGTGAGTTCGATCCCCGGTACCGATAAAAAGGAAAAAGAAAAAAAAAAAAAAAAAGCTGTTACAAAACAGAGACAAAACACCCGTGAAGGAAAGCCCTTTGGGATCACAGCTTACTTCTCCACACAAACCCAATAAGTCAAGGACAGTTTGGAGTAAAGTATATCAATACCTGAAAGAAAACAGCTTCCAGCTCAAATTGTTGTACCCTATAAAATTATCTTTCAGAATTAATGGACAAATAAAATACTTCTGTGCTAAAGAACAACTAACGAAACTCATGACAACCACACCAGCTCTACAAAGAGTGATAAAAAGTATTCTAAAAGAAAATGGAAAGCCTACAATTCCAAGAGAACCAATATAAATAAGCCACATGCCAGGGGAGGAAATTAAACAGAGGGAAATGATAATGAGCCATGATGGGAAAATTATATATGAGAAACAACATAGTCATATCAGCTATACCCATCAATGTAAACGGTCTCAATTCACCAATCAAAAGAAATAAACTGAGGGCTGGGGATATAGCTCAGCTGCCTAGCAAGTGACAGGTCCTGAGTTTGAATCCCAGTACCAGGGAGAAAAAACTACATGCAAAAACAAAACAAAACAAAACAACAACAACAAAAAAACACAAACGGCAGAATGAATCAAAAGGTAAGACCCAACTATTTTCTGCATTTAAGAAACACATTTAACTCAAAAAGAAATTCATAATCTGAAACTGAAAGGATGGAACACAATACTCCTTGCACCAAGAACCCAGAAAAAGAAGGAATAGCTATTTGATTCACACACAATTGTAATTTTAAGCTAATACAGATCAAAAGAGACAAAGAAGGTGACTACATACTTGTTAAGGGAAAACTCCAGGAAGAAAAAATAACAATCATAAATATGTATGCAAAAAATACTGGTACACCCACCTACATGAAACAAATATTAATTGAAATGAAAATTTGAATAATCACTAAAGCAATTGCAATGGGGAACCTTAATATATCCCTTCATCACAAATACATAGATCAACTAGACAAAATCATGAACAAAAAACATCAGAACTAAATCAAACTTGCAAACAAATAGACTTATTAGATGTCTACAGTGTTCCACCCCACAGCATTAGAATACACATTCTTCACAGCTCTACATGAAATGTTCTAGACCAAACACTAGCCCACAGAACATGCTTAAGTAAATGCAAAGGAAAGGAAATTACCCCATGCATATTATCAGATCATAGAGCAATGAAAATGGAAATCAATAGCAACATAAACCACAATAACTACATAAACACTTAGAACAAATGCATCATAGATAAAATTAAAGAATAAATTAAACAATATCCACAGTTAAATGATAATAGTGATGCAACATACCAGAACTTATGGGACACAATGGTAGCAATCCTGGGAGAGAAACTTACAGCAGTGACTTCTCATATTAGGAAAACAGAAAAAATTCAAATAAACAAGTCAATGCTGAAGCTTAAATTTCTAGAAAAAAAGAAAAAATCAAACACAAAGCTCATATAAGAGAGCAAACTATAAAGATCAGAACACAAATTAATGCAATAGAAACTAAGAAAACAGTAAAAAAACAATGAATTGAAGAGTTGATTCTTCAGAAGATTCAATGAAATTTATAAACTTGTAGCCTACCTTACCAAAAAGAATAAAGAAGAGAATCAAATTCATGCAATTAAAAATGAAGAGGAGGAAATCACAATGGATACTGTAGAAATGCAGATCATCAACACCTACTTAGAGACCTGTACTCTAAAAAGATGAATAACGCAGAAGAAATTAACAGATTCCTAGATCCATATGAGTGACAAAAGGGGAATCAGGAAAATATAAAAATTCTAAATAAGACAATATCTTTCAATGAAATTGAAAATGTAATTTTAAAATATACCAACAAAGAAAGGTCCATAGCCTGATGGGTATACAGCTGAATTGAACAAGAAATTTAGAGAAGATCTAATGTCATTACACATCAAACTCTTTAAGAAAAATGAAAGGGAATCAAACTCACAAACTCGTTCCTGAAAGCAAGTATTACCCTGATAACAAAATCAGAGAAGGATTCAACCCCAAAAGAGAAGTATAGACCAATGTCCCTAATGAACATAGATGCAAAAATTCTCGGATACTGACAGAAAGAATATGCAAAATTCATCAAGAGAATTATACCTCTAGACCAAGTAGTATTCCTCCCAGGGATTCAGGGATCATTCAAAATATGTGAATCAATAAACATAATATATCATATTCATGAAACTAAAGACAAAACCCATATCATCACCTCAGTAGTTACATGAAAAGCATTTGACAAAGTCCATACCAATTCATGATTTTTTTAAAAATCCTACACAATATTGAAATAGATGATCCTTATTTCAATCTGAATAAAGTCATACATGACAAACCAATAGCCAACATCACAGTAAATGTTCAAAAACTGAAAACTTTCACTAAAAAATCAAGAACAAGACAAAGACAACCACTATCACTACTCCTTTGCAATATGGTTCTAGAAACATTAGCTAGATCAATTAGGTAAGAGAAAGAAAGAAAGAAAAGGAATGATGATAGGAAAGAAAGGAGTTGAATTAACAGGGGCTAGGGATTTAGCTCAGCAGCATAAGCACCTGCCTTGCAAGCAGGCAGTCGTGAGTTCAATCCCCAGTACCAATTTAAAAAAAAGAAGTTAAATTATCATTATATGCAGATGGCATGATGCTCTACTGAAAAGCTGTTGTGATAAAAACAGCATGATACTGACCGAAAAACAGATCGGAGAATCAATGGAACATATTAGAATAGGCAGAAACATCTTTAAATACATTTTGCCATCTTACCCTTGACACAGAAGCTAAATACATTTACTGGAAGAAAGCTTCTTTAATAAATGGTGCTGAAAAACAGACTTTCCACATGCCAAAAACTAAAACTAGACCCCTACATATCATCATACACTGAACTAAAATAAAAGTAAGTCAAATATCTAAGTATTAAAACAGATACAAGGGCTGGGGATTTAGCTTAGCGGCATAAGCGCCTGCCTTGTAAGCAGGCAGTCATGAGTTCAATCCCCAGTACCCATAAATAGGAAAAAGACAAAACAAAACAAAACAAAAAAAAAACCAGATACACTAAGTGTGCCCAAAGAGAGAATAGGTAAAACTCTTCAAGACATAAGTGTAGGCAAGGACTTCTAAATAAAACTCCAGTGTCACAAGAAATACCACAAAGAATCAACAACTGGGATCTCATCTTATTAAAAAGGTTTTACACAGCAAAGGAAATCAATCACCAACAGAGTGTAAACACAACCCACAGAATTGGAAAAATCTTAGCCAGTTCTTCAAACAAAGAACTAATATCTAGAACATATAAAGAACTGAAAAAAATCAGATCTGCAAATTAAAGACCCAATCCAAAAATAGACATCTGAAGTGAGTACATAATTCTCAGAAATACAAACAGCAAATAAATACTTAAAACCATGTTCAACATCACTGAAATTTGAGAAATGCAAATTAAAATAATGCTTAAATCCCATCTCAGTCCAGAAAGAATGCCTATAATCAGCACATCAATCAGTTATAAATGATAGGTCTGTGGGGCAAAAGTAACACTTCTCTGTTGTTGATGGGATTGTAAACTGGTGCAACCATTGTCAAAATCAGATGGAGATTCCTCAAAAAACTAGGACTAGATGTCCCCTTCAACTTAGCCTTTCTTCTTCTTGGTATCTTTCCTAAAGAATTAAAAGCATTAAAAGAATTAAAAACATATGCACAACCATAGCAATACAGTCTGTAGTAGCTAAATGTGTCCTTGTATTTCCATTGGTTCTATCATGTTGTATCTTGTTGGAGTTTAATATGGATAGTATAAGCAAGTTTTATATGGCAAATGAGATAATATACTAGCCATTATTCATTTTCTGTTATTTGGTTCTGAATGCCCTGTAATTCTTTCATTCTCTTGAATGGTTTTATACTATTTTGTTACGTTTGACATTATTGTGTGTGAAGGTATGCTCAACTATTTAAAAAAAAAGAGACATTATGGTTAATATACGGTTGTCTTGTTGTGAAGTGCTGTGGTGCTTACATTGTTCTGTTCTGATCTGCTTCATTCTGTCCTCTTTTGTCTTAATCTCTAAAGTAAAATTTTAAAAATGTTGGAAGCAACCCAAATGCCTATCAACTGAGGAATGGATAAAAACAGGTGTGGTATTTTTTATCTAACAGAGTACTACTCAGCTATATGGAAGCATAAATTTGAGGCACTTATAGCTAAATGGATGAACCTTGAGACCATACTCTTAAGTGAAATAAATAAGACATATGTGTAAATATCATACTGTCTCTCTGGTGTGAGAAACTGAAAGTACAAATAAGAATCAAAATGTATAATAGACACTTCACAGTAATAGAAAGTAATTTTTCAAAAGGAATGGAGAACTGAGGAGATGGAATGAAAAAGAAAAAATGAGAAAAAAAGCTAAAATGGAAACAAGGATTTGTAAATAAGGAAGGGGAAAAGGGTTGAAGAGAGGGCATGGGAATGTGAATAGAAGAGGAGCCAAGATATATCATGTACAGTTACAAATATTCTATAATGAATATGAAATTATGTATATCTAAATTGTACTAATAAAGTTAATGAAGAAAAGAAACAATATTGTATTTCAATAGGCACAATGGAAGTTTACATCATAAGGTATGAGGTTGTTTTATACCTGGGTAGAAAGCTATATGTACACTGATCTGTGTTGGTTTTTTTTTTTTTTCACTGTTATGACAGGTGTAGGCCTTTTATCTCCATGTGAAAGTCCTCTCTTCTCTATTTCATCATTTTAAAAAGTTTTTTCATAAAACATCAGAGTGAAATATAATTACAATATCAACTTTTTGGCTCTAAGTTTATCTTGACATTCTTATAATTTTATATTTCAAGTGGCAATTGTTGATGTATATATAAGATTGATTTAAAATATAAAATATTTTTCATAAAATATATATGAAAGAAATTTTAGTATGGCCCCTTAGAAGACAACCAAATCTTCTCTTTTGAAAGCAGCATAAGAAATTTTATTTGGGACTCTCACAAAGATGGCAGGTCAGTGAGCAGCAGCATACAGAGGCTCCCTGAGAGAGACAACTCAGATGCCAGGATGAAACATCTTGGAGAGGTCCAGACAGAGAGAGATGGATCCTCTTGACCCAGGAATAAACCAAAGGTAAAAGAGCTGGTCAAACACACAGTGCCAGGGCTACCATTGGAGCAACTAAGATTAGCCGCCACAGCGCTCTCGCTGGAGTCACCCAAACTCACACCACCATGACTTACCGGACCTGTCCGAACTTGCATCATTGTGACCCACCGGATCCGTGATCACACTGAAGTTGAATGTTGGCAAACCCAGCAGAGAACAGAGCCAGCGTGGAGACCTGCATTAACTCACAGTGAGTGCAGGGAATAAGACCCTCTCACAGGAAAGGGGTGAACAACTGGACAACATGTTGGAATGGGGCAGGATGGGCAGGAACAAGGAATGGCAGTGACTTCAGTCAGTTGTTCCCTTCCCAGATCAGATTGGTGGGATATGCTTGGCTGGATCGTGACCCTGGCCAGGTCCCAATAAGTCATCCCAAACCAATTTTGTACACATGGCACACACTAATGCAGTAAAGGCCCCTGAAGTTGACTGACCTGGAGGGGAGGGGCCAACATAAGCTGCTCCTGCTTGCACCTAAATGACCAATAGCAAACTGGAGAGGGCAGAAATACCTAGCCAGTGCACTTCAGAAGAACCATAACCAACAAGGAAAGGGCCTGGGACCTCCTCTATACCCTGTACGGAAGAAACCAAAACATGACAAGAGAAAGAAATAAGAAAGAGTATCCAGTTCCCAACCCTGAGAATATTGATCCAAGAGAGTTAAATACAAAAAAGACTGAGGGAAGCAAACAATGCAATATCAGACACAGGATCAGTGGACATGAAGAGATATCTTCAGGACTTCATAGACAAGCTCAAAAGTGAAATAATTAATCAAGTAAAGCAAGATATAAGTGGATTAATTTTTTTGTTTTTTACTTTGAAGGTAGTAAAATACAACAAAACAAGACAGAACAAAGCCAATTTAGACAGTGTACTGACATTGGTACAGAACTTCACAGCAGGTTATGGGATAACAGTAATAGGTACCACAGTATATCTGTTATCTTCACAATAATTGATCTTTCAATCATGGATAGCAAAATAAAATGATATGCAGAACATTACAGAACTTATCAAAACAGGATATTGAATAGAGCAATACCATTAATCAGAATAAAGCAAAACAGTGGTAAAAATATTTACCTTCAAAGAGATGGTAGAAGGAAATCCCCCTTATTTGCTATATTGCATATGGCCAGCCTCCTAAGAGATGCCCAAATCTCTGGCTCCCATTTGCTAATGGAGTGGGAGAAGAAGTGGGATGTTTGATTCAGCCTGTGTGCCAGTAGGCTCACTACCACTTAGAAGGAGGTGAGCTATTTGCTTGGTTTCCCAGTGCCCTAAGATCCAATATGGCATGGATCTCAGGAGATGCTGGTGGTTCTCACCCTGGGGCAGCTGCAGCCTGCCACACCACAGCCCCTTACCAGGGAGGTAAGCTGATTGCTTGGTTGCCCAGGGCCCTAAGTTCCAACATGGCGTGGATCTCAGGAGACACTGGTGGTTCTCCTCTTGGGATGGCCACAGCCATATAAGTGGATTAATAAAAGAAATGCTAACCACCTCTCAAGAAGAAACAGACATAACAATGGAGGAACACAAAAGAGGAAAGAAATGTTTGATGAAGAATATAAAGGAAACCTAGAATACATGAATCAGATTCAAAGAGATTACCAGGAAATTAAAAGCTTCATTGAAAGCTGGCAAAACTACTTGAAAGAAACAAAAGACAGACTCTCAAAACTTGAACACAGGTTTGCAATGTTAACCATGAAAGGAAATATCTCTTAAAAATAACAAGGAAACAGGCAGTAGCCATACAAAGGCAAGAAGATAACAAGAGGATCTATAACTTAAGAATTAAAAATGTGAATGAAGAAGCATGAGTATGTATAAAGGAGATACAAAGGATATTCACAGAAATAACTAAGGAAAACTTCCCAAGCATAAGAAAAGGAAATGATATTCAGATGTATGAGGCATATAGAACTCCAGCCTCCTACAACCAAAGCAGAGCTACACCCAGACATATAATAATCAAGATCCCAGAAATTCAATAAAGAACAGAATACTAAAAGCCATCAGGGAAAAGAAACAGATCACCTATAAAGGAAAACTCATCAAAATCACAGCAGACTTCACAACACAGATCATCAAATCAAAAAGATCTTGGAGTGAAGTATTCCAAGCCCTGAAAGAAAATAACCTCCAGCCCAGATTGATGTTTCCTGAAAAACTGTCTCTTGAAATTAATGGAGAAACAAGATGCTTCCAAGAGAAGAGGAACTAGGGGAATTTGCGACCACCAATCCAACCCTACAGGGAATACTGAAGGAAATCATATATAGAGAAAAAAGTACCAGGATTTCAGGAACAGTGGCAGAGAGGCCTCAATGAATGGAGCAGAAAGTGGAATGAAAGAGAAAAGCAGACAACTAATGGCAGAAAAATAGCACAACAGAAATGAGGGAGAGAAGCTTGCTATAATCTCTAATATAGATGGACTTGACACACTAAAAAAAAAAAAAGAAAAAAGAAACACAGGCATAGTAGATCAGGAGGCAGGGTCCACTGAGGTGCTGTATACAAGTAATATATATAAGAAATTTAATTAACCTGAAAAAGGGTTTACAGACTGAAAATCAAATATGAGAAAACATTGCTCTATGTGACAGGGAACCAGACAGTAATAGGGGCAACTCGACCAGCACCTGCAGATACGTTGGAAAGACAGGTTTTGTAGGTAAAGGAATACAACTTGAGATTAAGTCCAGGAAGAATAAGGTTCAGAACCACTTTGGTAAATAGCAGGTTGCACCCTCAATCTAAATAGTGAGGGATTTTGTGGGACCCAAAAATGCACAGTGCATCCTGTGGAAGTTAAAGGGGAGTAGTAATCTAAAAAAAAGAAGGCAGAGGATATTGTTTTAACCCACATTACTCACAGCACTCTGTTTAGATAGATTATATTCTGTCCCAGTTTGTCTATTCACACTAGATCTGAGGGCACAGACAGCTATCCCCAAAATAGCAGGATATAGCACACTAATCATCCTTAACTCACTATTAACTTAATCTGAAGCCCTGTGTAACTTACACTGTTTTACCAAGACTGATCTTAGTTGAATCTGGTTTGTTAGATTCCTATTTGGCATCAACAGATTTTATTCAAAACTGTTATGATTGATAGTATCAAGTCTGAGAGTATAGGCAAGTAGACTGAAGATGACAAGATTCACTATGATACCATTCTGGTTTGATTATTACCTGCTTTTGAAGTTTTACACTCTGTACAATGTTTTGTTTTTATTAACATTGTTATGTACTGCTACATTCAATTATGCTATGCTTGATGATATAGACAATTCGATTGAAGATAACAAGAGACAACACAGTAACCATTATAAAACACCTTGTACTGTGGTTTTGTATGACTTTTTCATTCCATGTATTTGTAGAAATATGTTTTTCTTGTCTTGCTTTGTTTTGTTTCTCCCTCTAATACAGAAAGGATAGAAATACATGTAGAGACTCATGCATGCATAGAATCTATAAATCCGTTTATGAGAACTGATTTTATAATGCATGAAGAAATGAACAACTACATTGAAGAAAAACCGACACTACAGTACCCAGTGCTGATCCTGAAGTGTCATGATATGAAATCCAGCAATACTATTATTCTTTGTTCAGAGTGATTTTAGCCTGCCTTGGTTTGTTTAATCTCAACATACATGAAGATATGGACAACTGCATGTGTGTTTAGGTGTATAAGATTGTTAATCATATTAGTAAGTTTTTGTTTGATAGTTGAAAAGAACTGTTTGCAGTATCACTGTTTGAATATCTACTTTGTATGCTTCACTTTCATAACTTGAATAACTATTTGAAAGAGGACAATATGTAATTATCAACTAGTGATTTCTTACTCCTTATTTTTTCTTTGAAATTATGTATTATTTCTACCCTTTTTCTGTTTTATTCTTTCTTTAAATAAAATAAAAATTCAAATTAAAAAACTGTAAAAAAGAAATTTAGGTCTGTTACATTGCTTTCTTATGTTATTTTGTTGTATTTAATTTTACCCTCTTTAAAATAAAATAAAATCTGAAATTTTGTTCCTAAAAATCATTGAACTCATTATTACGGGCAAAAAATCCCACTGCCAGATGAAAAGGCATACTTATTAGCATAGTAATTATGTATTATGCATATTAGAAATTCAAATTACAATCATGGAATTTATTAAATATGTATCAATCTCTCTTCACAAAATGCTCATTTGTGTCTGATAGAATAAGTTAGTCAATATTTGAACTAAGAAACCAATGTTCCACAATAAACCCCACCATACAGAGAAAACCACCATGAAGATTAAATCAAACACCCACAAAACTTGAAACTCGTGGCTCAGAGCACACATAGCTTTAATCTACTCCTACAACGTTTCATGGTCAAATCAGCCAAAATAAATGTTCTCTGAATTCTCTCTGAGCAATGTGCTCAGATTATGAAGCAGCCTACCTCTGACTTCTAAGTGAGTCACTTGTTCGCAGACCAATCATGCTCTAATTTTTCCATCATTCATTGAACAACTTACTGGTACTCTAATAAGTGTACCTACCTGAAAAGAAGCAGCTGGAGATGGTCACTTTCTCCAAAGACTGGACATCAGAGTAGCCTTCAAGACTCTACTCCAGGCCTCCCAACCCAGCACAGAAACAATCATGAGAGGATGACTAGTTTTGGTGGTAGAAAACACATCTAACACAGCTACACTGCACAGTCTTTAAAAAACTCAACCTGTAGGACTGACCGGGCATACACAGCTATAGGCTTCTGCTACAGGGCTTCTATGGATGAGTGATACATGAATGTTGCATAGATGATTCAAATAGTTTAAGAATGAATTTTTTAAAAATGAACTCAACAAAATATTTGATCCATTATAATATCTCAAAATGTAAAAGGAGAAGGGAAAGTCAGACTTTTTGTTGCTGCTGCTCCTTGCTGCCATTAACTGTTTCTCTTCTAGCCTCATAGACCAATTCAGGAATGAAGTTATCAACGACCTGAAGCTAGAAGTATGCAGAATAGTTAGAGAAATGCTAAGCACCACCCAGGAAAAAACAGATGGTGGAATGGAAGAACAGAAAAAGAGGGGAGAATTGTTTGATGGAGAAAACAGAGAAAGCATAGAGTACGAGAAGCAGGTTCAAAGGGACTATCAAGAAATTAAGAAGTCTATCCAAGACTGGCATAACAACTTGAAAGAAACTAAGGACAGACCATCTGAACTGGAGGGCAGACTTGTAATATGGGAGATTGAAATGAAAAACTTCTTAAAAATAACAAAGAAACAAACAGCAATAATACAAAGACAAGAAGATGAAAAGAAGAGCCATAACTTAAGGATTAAGAACATAAAAGAAGAAGTAGGGACACAAACAAGTGAACTACAAAAGCTACTCAGAGAAATAATCCAGGAGAACTTTCCTAATTTAGCAAAAGGTAAAGATACTCAGATGTATGAGGCATACAGGACCCCAGCTACCTACAACCCTAACAGAGAAACACCCAGGCATATAATAATAAAAATTCCAGAAATTCAATACAAGAACAGAATATTAAAAGCTGTAAGAGACAAGAAACAGACCACTTACAAGGGAACACCCATCAGAATTACAGCAGATTTCTCTGCACAAACCATCAAATCACAAAGGGCGTGGGGGGAAATAATTCAAGCTTTGAAAGATAATAATCTCCAGCCAAGATTGAGATATCCTGCACAACTGTCCCTGGAAATTGATGGAAAAACAAGGTGCTTCCAGGATAAAGAGGAACTGGGGGAATTTGCAACCACCAATTCAACTCTACAGAAAGTATTGCAGGATATTCTAAAAAAAGAAAAATACAAAGAACCCAGAAATAGTGGCGGGGAGGCCACAACGAATGGAGCAGAGAACAAAATGAAGAAGACAAACTGACAGCTACTGACAGAAAAAGAGCTCAACAGAAATGAGACAGAGAAGATTGGATGATAGGAACAGCTATTTTGGAGAAAATGACATCTTAATAGGTAATACTGATTTAGTATCATCTTGTTTTGAAGTCTCATCTAGCTTTTGTTCTTCTGTCTCCAATGGTCTAAATAGGTTGTATCTTATTGGATTTTATTATGTACGATAGTATAAGCAAAAACCTTTTAAAGACAAGGAGATTATACAGAAACCATTGTTCATTTTCTGTTAGTCGATTCTAAATACTCTGTAATGCTGTCATTCTCTTAAAAGGTTTTACATTGTTTTGATATACTTAATGCTACAGTATACTAAGTTGTACTCAAGGACTTCAAGGAAAGAGTCAATATGGTAACTACTTTTGGGTCGGGATTATCTGGTGGAGAAATACTATTCTGCTTAAATGGTTATGTTTTGATCTGCGCTGTTTCACTGCTATGCCCTCTTTTATCTCAATCTCCACTCCATTATTTACTTTTTTATTTTTATCCGTTTAATTAAAGGGAAAAAATAGCAGGATATATTATAGTAACCCACTTTGACTTTCTATTATCTCGATTTGAAGCCCTGTATTACTCTCACCATCTTGTTTTTGACTGATGTTCCCCTATTCTGTTTTGCTGGATAGTATCAAGTTCGAAAGTTTAGGCATCAGCTGTGAAGATAATGAGATTCATTATAACGCCCATTCTCGTTGACTTTTATCTACTTTTGAAGACCTACAATGTCTCCAATGTTTTCGTTTTGTCGGTTTTGTTCTTTACTGTTTTGTTCAATTGTATTATAACTAATGATATAGGCAATTCTGTTAGAGATAGCGGGAGGCATTATGGTAACCATTGTTGATCACCTTGTATTATGTTTCTATATTATCTATTATGTCCACCCTTTTGACTTGACTGATTCTGTTCTGTTATGTCACATTTGGTTTTACTCTCTTCCAAAAAAGCAATAAGAACCGTGGGAGCAATGAAACCCAAAATGTGTAATAGTCATTGTACAAAAGAGAGGAAAATAAAGTGCTCTAAACTATATAACTGCATGTATATTTAAGTGTATAAGATAGAAAATGATATCACAGAGTTTTATTGGATCA